AATTCAAATTGTTCTTTTTATTATTACATTCAGCATGATATGAGATATTGTGTCAGAGCTCTACAGCATCACAGGTAGATCAGAGGTCACATAAAATCACAGATAATCATCAGGTGCTCTTTTTTTAAACTATGCAGGTTACAAACCTGCTGTGTTTCTGATGTAAGCTAGATTACCCAAAGATTTAACTGTGTTAAACTGAATTTAGACCTGAAAGAGCAGTAAGACGTTTAAATTATTAATTTGAAATGGGTAAATCTTCAGGTAACCTTGCTCTACATTTAAATCACAGCATGCTTGTCTTCACTCCACCATGACAAAATTTAACTCACTTCTTTGTCAGCCAGTTTGAGTAGTAGCACAGTAATCTGAAGGCTTTCTATACCCTATTAAGTGAGATGTGAAGCATGAACACTGCATGTTTTCATTCCCATGGATCTTGAACCTCTCAATATCAAATCTTCATTCAGATCTAATGTGGACACTTCTCATCAATGGCCACTTATGAGGTGCCCTGACAGGTGCCCAATCATAAGTGTGAAAAATAAGTGTGAGTCTCTGTGTTGTATACTACCCATCAAAAGTTTAGACTCACTTAAAGCACTCACTATATGTTATGTATATGTATGTGGTTACATCGAAGATGAATTGCTCCACCAACTTGGGGGAACCAACTGAAAACCTTATGCAGATGAATTGCACAAGGATGATGCTTCAAATTGCGAAAGGCATGAGCAAATGTCGTGCATGTGAACAGATTCGTTTTGGTGTAAAGTTTTGTTAAGAATTCGCCAATTTTCACAGATTTTAATCATTTACTGAACTCATGACAATAATCTTTTCAATGTTACGAATATGTTTTACAATACACCAGTTCATAACTAAACAGTACCTTTAAACAGTATGGAATATTTTGCAAAAAGCTAGTTTAGAACAGTGGACAAATAAGTGGCTACATTTACACTAGTGAGTCTAAACTTTTGATGGGTAGTATATATTGTTATTGCAGACAGGTTTTATTGCATGTGGTTTCTGAGTCATCGTCGTCGTCATCATCATCATCATCACTACCACATCACATTGTCATCATCACCAGCCAAGTTGTCAACTGTGCCATACTCATCTTTGGACATAGTCCTTATGGGTATTGCCTGTCACGCCATGTCCCCCAATGTCTTGTACTTGAAGTTTAAGCTGACAAGTATGAGGATAGGGTTGGTTGGCTCTTCGCTAGTTTTGTGTCAGTTAGACAGCAGGTGACATTATAATGTCATTGATTTATCTGGTTCAAACATTCAGCAGGTAAAGGTAATGAGTAATATCACTCACTCACTCACTCACTCACTCACTCACTCACTCACTCACTCACTCACTCACTCACTCTGTAATCAGTGTAGAAATGTCTCCACGGGGACAGAAAGGACATGTTGCAGCAAGGCCAGGGTCAGTTGGTCGTCCCTGCACTACTGATGTGTAAGCTATCAGGGGTAACAGTTATTTCTGACATATTTATTTGAAAGTCGCTATTGTAACTTGTATATAAACTGGCATTTTGTGTTTGTAATGAAAGTATGCTATTAGGAATGGAAGAACCCATTCATATATTTCTTTATTCTGCTGCTGATGAGTACAAATTCAGAATTCAGTTCTTCAACACTGTAAGAGATCTAGAGTCCTTTCTTATTGAAAACATACAAAGAGCTTTGTCACAAGCCCACGAATTAAATTCAAAATGTACCTAGACATGCTGTATGAATTTGGAAATGAGGCACATTAAAGATGGTATCATAAATCAACACTACTTGTTAAAAAATGGTTGTTTACGCAGCCTCTGCTTGAGTTAATGGTGCTGTTATCTTTATCATCATCGGTGACATCTGCTGATCTGTTGTGATAACCCTCTTCCCACCTTGTTCTTTGATCAGACGTTTACTGAGCAGAACGACTGACACATCTACCCGTGAAATCAACACATCTCATGTAGCTGTGCAGCAGGCCACCATTGTGGTGGACTTTTTTTTGTTGCAAAGTCAGGTTGTTTCTGACAGTATTTAATACCCTGGTCTAATTTAGGTTTTGTTCCGCTCTGTAACTGGGTGACATCTACCCTACTGTTCAGGGGTGTTCTCGCTGTAGGCAGGGTGTTGGGTGAACTAACAGCTGTACTGCCATGTCCAGGGGCCATGCTCTCTCAAGAGGGGGTCGTGTGAGATCTAAGCAGCCCTGTGTTTGTGGGGTGATCTGTGTAGGCAGGGTGTTGGGTGAGATGATACAATCTCGGGCTGTTGTAGGGTGATCTCTCTGTAGGCAGGGTGATGTGGGGTGATCTCTCTGTAAGCAGGGTGTTATGGGTGATCTCTCTGTAGGCAGGGTGTTGTGGGGTGATCTGTGTAGGCAGGGTGTTGGGTGAGATAATACGATCTTGAGCTGTTGTGGGGTGATCTCACTGTAGGCAGGGTGTTCTGGGGTGATCTCTCTGTGGGCAGGGTGTTGTGGGGTGATCTGTCTGTAGGCAGGGTGTTATGGGTGATCTCTCTGTAGGCAGGGTGTTGTGGGGGGATCTCTTTGTAGGCAGGTTGTTGTGGGGTGATCTCTCTGTAGGCAGGGTGTTGTGGGTGATCTCTCTGTAGGCAGGGTGTTGTGGGTGATCTCTTTGTAGGCAAGGTGTTGTGGGTGATCTCTCTGTAGGCAGGTTGTTTCAGGGTGATCTCTCTGTAGGCAAGGTGTTGTGGGTGATCTCTCTGTAGGCAGGGTGTTGTGGGTGATCTCTCTGTAGGCAGGGTGTTGTGGGTGATCTCTCTGTAGGCAAGGTGTTGGGGGAAGTGATCAGATCCCAGGTTGTTGGGTGATCTCTCTGTAGGCAGGGTGTCGGGGGAGGTGATCAGATCCCTGGTTGTGGGGTGATCTCTCTGTAGGCAGGGTGTCGGGGGAGGTGATCAGATCCCAGGTTGTTGTGGGTGATCTCTCTGTAGGCAGGGTGTTCTGGGTGATCTCTGTAGGCAGGGTGTCGGGTGAGATGATCAGATAACAGGCTGTTGTGGGGTGATCTCTCTGTAGGCAGGGTGTTGTGGGTGATCTCTCTGTAGGCAGGGTGTTGTGGGTGATCTCTCTGTAGGCAGGGTGTCGGGGGAGGTGATCAGGTCCCAGGTTGTTGTAGGGTGATCTCTCTGTAGGCAGGGTGTTGTGGGTGATCTCTCTGTAGGCAGGGTGTCGGGTGAGATGATCAGATGCCAGGCCATTGTGGGGTGATCTCTCTGTAGGCAGGGTGTCAGGTGAGATGATAGGATCTTGGTGTGTTGTAGGGTGATCTGTCTGCAGATATGTTGCCTGAGGTAAGGTGATAAGGTACCTTGCTGTTACAGGGTGAACTCTGCAGGCAGGGTGTCACTTTTACTGTTAAGGTTCCAGATTTCTGTGCCTTTTGTCTGTTTTGTTAGACACCTCCATCTTGCACTGCCACTACATTCAGGTTGTAGTGATTCCCACAAGACAGCTCTGTAAAACACAAGGAGACCTCCCCATTGTCCTCTTTGTGTCAGGTTTGTTTGGTCTGTAAACACACTCAGGTGCTTGCCAAGTCTTTTGCTAAATGCCCAACTTTCTATAGTGGCGGTAACACCACATATTTTCATGTAAATATGGAACAACATATCTAAGCCTGCAAGGCCTAGACAGGTGGATGTGTGCTTTGAAGGTTTGGGTGATTTAGGTCTCAGTGTCATGTTCATGGACTGATGGCTAACATTAACAAATAAAAGGAGCATTTATGTAGGTTTTGTTGAAGGTGGAACTGATAGTTGAACTGAGGCAGCATGGTTTATCTATGATTTCAAACTAAGTGCCCTTTAACTTGTTTAGGACAAATATTTCCAGAGGTAAATTGAAAATAATAATATTAACACTGCTTTCAATGTAATGACATGAAACTAAGTGAAAAAAGCCTTTGATAACTGATGCCTCACATGTTAAAAGTTCATGTCACCCTTGAGGTTTTTAACCTATACATACATAGACATGTGATTATAGAGATTCCTGCTGCTTTGTGATGAAGGGAGTAGGGGTAGTTGCAGGGTTGGAGTAGGGGTAGTTGCAGGGTTGGAGTAGGGGTAGTTGCAGGGTTGGAGTAGGGGTTGTTGCAGGGTTGGAGTAATTTTTGTGTCTGAATTTCTCGTGCTATGCTCTGACTGGGGGTCTCACAGGCCGTTTCGAGTGTATCTCTCCTCGCCCCAGGTCACACCACAGGCCACAGGTCACAGGTCACAGTCCGTTAAAAAAATGATCCCCACTTCGGCTATTATTTTTACATAAAACCACACCACATTCAGGTAGTGGACATTCCCATAAGAGTTTCTTGGTATGTTTAAAACTTATGAGTTTGGGTGCATGTATGTCGACTTTGTCAATAATAGCGATAATATTAATCATAACCATGATATGAGAGATACCTATGTAATAGTGATCCCATGGGACCCCCACAGCCTGGTACAGGGACTCCCCAGGAATCGTGTACAGATCAGGGCAAACCCATTCATACTGCTTGACAGCTAGGTCATCACAATGAGTAGAGTGTAGAAAGAATCTGTCCAGCCTTTCCCAGGTGACAGGGAACAGGAACCAGAGCTACCTGAGAAGGGCTCGAGTGCAGTCATGTTTTATTCAATATCCCCTTGGAAAGAAACAAGACACCAGTGTATGGAGTTAATGAAAGTCAATGTGCCCTATAAATTGTCATTGTTAAAGCAATAATGGATTCATGAACTGAACACATGAATTAGTTCTGTAAAGGGCGTAACATTTTTTTAATGACATCATGGTTGGCATGGATTAACCTGTCATCTGAACATTTCCAATCTAATAATCGTAGAGTTGTGTCCCTTCACATAGCTGAATCAATTGATCTTCGAATACCAGATTCGTCCTGATTATGACCAACTGGTAAATGGCTGAGACCTTCTGGTTTTCCTTCCATGTGTGTATTTATGATGATTCCCTTTTTCCAGGACATTGCAAGAATCTACAATGCCAGACCTGGATTCTTTGTCAACGATATCAGCAGATTTGACGTCAAACAAGGAACTTTAGGTGAGTGGGGGGCACAAATTTACAATATACAGCTGTGAAAACTTGTGAACAAGCACCCTCATACACAAGGAAAAGTAGTTCATGGGTTCCTTTTTGAAAATGAACCCACTCGCCCACTTTTTATCCAATAACCCCATTTTTTCATCATTGGGGCTTTCCTTTTTGTCAATGCCTGTGAAGATCCGAGTTACAACCCATGCTTGTCGTAAGAAGCGACTAACAGGATCCGGTGGTCAGGCTCTCTGACTTGGTTGACACATGTCATCATATCACAATTGCATAGATTGATGCTCATGCTATTCTTACTGGAGTGTCAGGTCAAGACTCGGTTATTTCCAGACCACCACCACATGTAACATATGTTACATTTGACCACTTTCCAAATGGCACTGTGTAGTCACACCACCACTTAGCTGGAATATTGCTGAGTACGGCATTAAACAAGAAACCAACCAACCAATCAACCTTTTTGTCAACTTGTGAACACTATCATTACAGGTATACCTAATAGAAAGAGTTGAATATTCATACAAGGCAATCTAACATCCATGTTAACTGGTCCTGCAGGTGACTGCTGGGTGTTGGCGGCCATTGCTTGTCTGAGCTCGCCAGAACACCGGGAACGCTTCTTCCGTGTAGTCCCGGATGACCAGAGCTTCCATGACAGCTGGTATGCTGGACTCTTCCACTTCTTCTTCTGGCATTTCGGGGAATGGAAGGAGGTGGTGGTGGATGACCAACTTCCTGTGGTTGGCAGAGAACTTTTCTTTGTCCACTCTTCACAGCCAAATGAATTTTGGGCGGCTCTGCTGGAAAAAGCCTATGCCAAGTGAGTTTCTCAACAAATCTACTGAATGCGTTCTGGTTAGAATATATTCTCTGTGATGTAGACTCCAGATCTGTTTGGTTTCCAGCAACAGCTGCCTTAGAAATACTATATATTCTGGGATGAAGATTTTCAAAAAGTCCAGAAGGGTTCCTGGTGATGTGTATTATACCTGATTTTATACACCATGGCAGTCATGACCATCATACCAAAATATTCAACAGATTGTATATTCTTTTATTTAACTTGAAAGTACAAACTCAAACAACAGTATAATCAGATACTTAAAAATGGAAGGTAAAATGGTGTATTTTAGCCTTGTATTTTAACCTAATTCATATGTCAGTGGTGGAAACAAGTTATGATGACCTTTTGGGGAAGTCCACTTAACAATGAGATGAACATTGTAGTTGTTTCAAAACGGATGTTTGAACCTTCGGATGCACCTTTGAGCTTTTGTTTGATAAACAAGTTTGCCAGAGTCTTGATCCCATGTGGGATTGTGTGCTTTGAGTTTGCAGTATTTAATTGCATTTTCATTGCTTCTGATCAAATAAAATATGTTGTAGTTTCTAGACAGTGATTAAAACTATTTCAGACTATACGGATCTTACGAGGCCCTTAAAGGGGGAAGTATGGCAGACTCATTAACTGACTTCACTGGTGGTCTGACCGAGAGCTACACCATCAGGGGAAAGCATGCCAACATGCCTCGCAACATCATCAACATCTTGTTCAAGGCGCTGGATCGTAATGCTCTGATTGGCTGCGGCATAGACGTGAGTAGACACACTGTTCAAACTGTTCTCAACGTTCCACTGCCCACAAGTTCTTGTCACAGAACAAACAAGATCTGGTCAGCAAAATGTATAAACTCTCATCTTGGATTTATTTCAACTTCATATTTGTAAATCAAACTTTAAACTAAGAATGTAACTATGCTAGTCATAAGTTGTCACTTGATGGATTGGATGGTCAAGGTCATGACAGGTGGCGTGTCATCAGTCGCCGACGACACAGATTGTTGCACAGAGAACCATGTACTGATTTGTCTGGTCCAGAGAGGTGGTAAATTTCTGAACACCTCCCGACTTTCCTCAACTCCTGTAATTTTTATATCTGGTCTTCTGTCATTTGGCTATAACATTAAACAAATAGCAGCATTAAACAAATATTAAAAAAGTCAAATTAATGACAGCTATATTTTCTTATTGAGAAAAATCAAAACGAAAATCTGACTCATCATATTAGTAGATAGATGATAATACAGTCTGAACACTTTATCTTGATAGTACCCGTATCTCAAACATATTCACCGATCCCGACTAGATAGATATACAAGGTCTTGCTCGCTATCACCTATAGATAAAAAATATGTAGTCCTTTCTTGGACCTTGGACTCTTCCCTGGATTTGACTCTACTACAGAATTTTGTATATTTAAGTATATAAGTAGGCATTTGTCACATGAACAGTTTTGAGAAGTGCAAATGAACATCTCGCATACTGTGTCTTTGTGTATTGTGTCAGGAGTACCAACTATAAGTCAAAATTAAATTCATAAGGACTGACTGATTTTGGTTTTACGCCGCTTTTAGCAATATTCAAGCAATATCACGGCGGGGGACACCAGAAATGGGCTTCACACATTGTACCAATGTGGGGTTTCTTACCCGGGTCTTCGGCACGACCAGCCAACGCTTTAACCACTAGGCTACCCCACCGCCCCAAATTCATAAGGAACATCATCACGCTTGTGCAATGTGGCATATGCTGAGATAGGTGATTGTTCGCAATTCAGTGAAGGACCCGACGTAGCAATGGACAAGTGGATTTAATTTATCTACTCCTACAAGTTGACAGTACACATGGTGCACGAGAAATACACAATATCATATCACCATGGATCGATAATACTGTTCCCTGAACTTTTGAATGTCCAGATATCCTAAAGTTACAACACAGTCCCTCTAGGTCCATGATAGTAAGGTTGAACTGTACCAGTAAATCCAGTGATTAGACAGAATATCTGTCTGTCTGTTCGGAATAACTCCATTGATTGAGTGTTATATGGCGACACTTGCTATGGTCTTAGGAGGCCAGGAATTTATTGTGGAAATCAGTCAGACATAAAGACAATTTGTATGCATATTTAATTTGCCACACAAGAGGATCCGTGTTTGTATTGATTATATTCATCATTTAGTCCCATCATGCAACATTTCCATGATACTGTGACAAACTGGCACTGTTTTATCTGTCGGAATCAGTAGCATTTGAAATATTTAGCAAAATGGAGATAAATCCCTGCATTATAGAGGATGATGAGACCTTATGTAACCAACTGTTTGATACACTAACAGCTTAATTCTCATCAAATAATCAGTGGTATTTAAGATACTGAGGTTTCTACTGTTACTAATTACATTATCTGAATCAGTCATTTGATGACAGATGATGACTTGCTGGGATAATGACCTTGTCTGTGACATTACTGCCTTGTTGTGTATATACTAGTCTGTCATACAGACCCTGAAACAAATATATCCAAGAAAGCTCATGCAAGTCTAGAATATGTGGCAAATATAGATTTCCACAGTTTCAGGAAAATGAAGAAAGGTCTCAGGGCTCCTTTTCATTATGTTTTATTAATTTTTCATTTCGAACTGGTTTTTTGTTTCTGAAAAATATGTTCATTTGAGAGACTAGTTGTTAGTCTATGTATATACACACAGCTGTATTTGTCAGGAATATGTTCATTCATCAAGTGTCCTGACAATTAAAATTTTAAACTGGGAAGACGTCATGCGTGACAGTTAAGGTGTCATGGTACTGAAAATTCTTTAACCGATACTCATACTGAAAACATATCCAGTTTTCACGATATCGAAAAATCCAAACCATCTGCAGTACGGCTGTCCGAACGGAACAATCTGCCACAAACTCATTCCCGACTCACATTCATTGTATTATTGAGCATGGAGATAGTTTGAATATGATTGATATTCATGATGAAAATACATGAAAACTGCATTGCTTCCTCACAAAACCATAGCGTCACTGAATCAGAGTGAAAGTAGTTGCGACAAGGAAGTGTTATTTTACTCATGGGAACTATTATTTTTCTGTTTTCATAAATATTGAATATCATCAATCAGTGTCAAATAGTGATAATAAATGGAGATTCTTCCGAGACCATGATGCAGTGTGATTATAGGTGAAGTAGCCCACCTGAGGCATTAATTAGATCATTTGACGTAGTTGTTCCTGGGTATGGATCGGACTTAGTGGTTCTACTTCAGGATTAGCTGATATCTCAGGAGAACTGTTGACTTGACAGACCCTTCCCAGTTAATTACTTCTCATAACATATTGATTATCAAATATGGTGCCATAATGTCAGTTCCAGAAGCAGAGAGGTGGCTTTGACCTTGTCTTGGTGGGGACTCACTGCAATCACTTTAACGGGTTCTTCGATGATTTATGAATGGGTGCTTATCAGAAGAACAACAATTTTAAAAAATATTTCGGGGTTGTAGTTAATAAACTTTGTTCAAACATTGATGAAACAAAAAAAGGATAATATTTACAATGTAGTCATAAACCTGTTATTCGCTGTTTACTGCAAAACATCTGTGATATACACAGGGAAATATGGACTGTCTTTTCAACTTGAGGAGGCACGTGTAAAGATTACTTGCGAAATGACCTGTATGTTTCCGCTGGTTGTTACAGGAGCAAGGCACTTAATTAGGTATACATGCATCAAAGTACTGGGAATTGGTTAGAAGTCAGTATTGTGTATCAGTATATGTTCAGTATCTATTAAATAGACCAAATGTCTTCAGCCTAGCTTCACAGATGTATTGGACAGATACTAACAATGGACCAGATATGATCCCTTTGGGGCCATAGGGTCAGCGAGTTTGTCTTCTGTATAAATACACACTTGACATATGCAAATATTGTTGGAAAGATGAAAAAATATCTCTATGAAAAATGAAGTAGTATATTTGAAAATAGCATATAGTCTTTGACACATCTTAACAGTTGTAGATAATGTCAGCATAAACATCTGTCAGAAGTTAAGTTTAGAAAATGGAAAATTTCAGAATGTAGAAAACATTGGCCTGTTTCACTCATTTTAGGCATTGTCATGAGTTAATTAATGAAAATGAAAACAGTTGAATGTTTCTGATTAATGAAAAGTCCAGCACAGAATTTTGGGATGACAAGACCCAAGAAAAATGAATCCAGGGGTTAGTGTAGGTTACCAAAATGTGAGCCCTGAAAAGATAGTCTGACCTTTGGAACTTCAGAAATGTGTTTCCATGGCTGTTGTATGAATCCACTGATGTTGTCTTCCAGCCTGTGAAGTCTGGTTCAAGGGAAGCAGTGCTGGAGAATGGCCTGGTTGCAGGACATGCTTACAGTGTCACAGATCTCAGGGAGGTAGGTCTAATAGCTTACAGTGTCACAGATCTCAGGGAGGTAGGTCTTGTTGCTTACAGTGTCACAGATCTCAGGGAGGTAGGTCTTGTTGCTTACAGTGTCACAGATCTCAGGGAGGTAGGTCTAATTGCTTACAGTGTCACAGATCTTAGGGAGGTAGGTCTAATTGCTTACAGTGTCACAGATCTCAGGGAGGTAGGTCTAATTGCTTACAATGTCACAGATCTCAGAGAGGTAGGTCTGATTGCTTACAGTGTCACAGATCTCAGGGAGGTAGGTCTGATTGCTTACAGTGTCACAGATCTCAAGGAGGTAGGTCTGATTGCTTACAGTGTCACAGATCTCAGGGAGGTAGGTCTAATTGCTTACAGCGTGACAGATCTCAGGGAGGTAGGTGTGATTGCTTACAGTGCCACAGATCTCAGGGAAGTAGGTCTAATTGCTTACAGTGTCACAGATCTCAGGGAGGTAGGTCTTGTTGCTTACAGTGTCACAGATCTCAGGGAGGTAGGTCTAGTTGCTTACAGTGTCACAGATCTCAGGGAGGTAGGTGTGATTGCTTACAGTGCCACAGATCTCAGGGAGGTAGGTCTAATTGATTACAGTGTCACAGATCTCAGGGAGGTAGGTCTAATTGAGCACAATGTCACTGGGCACATACCCGATTTTGAAGGACACATTTTTAGTCTGGTTCAAATCTGATTATTTACATCATAATATTGTAATCTGAAACAAGAAACAAACATATCTTATATGTTTAATTATTACCAAACACAGAACAGTACACTGACAATGATGGCTGGAATATTTCAGATTCAGATGATGACGGACAGGGGACAGATTCCAGTCACACTGATCCGAGTCAGGAATCCTTGGGGGAACAAGATTGAGTGGAATGGCCGGTGGAGTGATCGGTATGTCTACATTCAACACTCCAGATTTAGTCCATGTTGTTTGTAAGAAATCCCTGTCTTATCTTTGTCCAAATGAGTTGTTGGGCTGTTACCACTGAACCAGGACCTAATGTCCTCATGTGTCATGACAGATAAACTATAGTCATATGAAAAGAATGGGTGTTCCCTATTATCCAAATCCAAATTTAGCAAAGATGGTATTCTTTGTTTTAATGATTGTTTTTGTTAAGGCAAGGTTATGAACCTTTTCTCACAGCCCTGAACTGCTGATGACTTGTGGCAATCTACTGAAGATACAGACAGTGATCGGGGCTTACAGAGTTGTGGGCTTTTCATTATTGTTTCAAGAAGTGCCAGGGAATCTGTAAATGTAACGATCAATGTTTTCACCATATTATTACAAGACTATTGTAACTACGTGTTGATAGTGTTTTAAGTATTGTAGTACTTGCAGTCCGTCCCATTAATGCTATAATTATTTATTCCTGATTTCTTCCAGTTCCCAGGAGTGGCTGAGTATCCCAGACCGCGAACGGGAACAGATCGGATTGGTGCAGAGGGACAATGGGGAATTCTGGTAGGCCTTTTGTAAAACTCTCTTGTTGCCATGGTAATGGCACTAATAGTTTCTTAAGATGGAAGAGCTACAATGAGACAATGTATGTATCATGTATCTGCATATATATCTTTGCATTCCCTGCCTTGAATCTAACTACCTAACATATATGTATGATAATTTGATGTGTGTGTGTTTTTTTTGTTTTAACAAAACCAACATATCCAATTGTAAATTGTTTCGCAAACTATGTTTATTCATCTAGCATATTACATGTTACATGCATCTAGTCACTTCATCCCAAGTAAATTCTCAACAATCAAAATCAAACTGACCTTGTTTTAAGAAAAGTGCTGTTAATATATAACTAATGAAATAATCACGGGGGCGTGGTGGGTGAGCTGGCTAAGGCGCCAGGCTAGTGATCCAGCAAGCATGAGGTGCCGGGATCGAGCCCACCTGTGACCGGGTGTAAAAACCTAGGAGTCAACTTTGTGTGCAGACTCTTTCAGTGTTGTCACAACCCCTAGTGTACAGTACACAACCCTGTGCACTTAAAAGAACCACAAATCCGTTGGTATATGACCAGATGGTGGCCACATGAAAACGTGCAAACACCTAGTTGCGGGTACAGCAACATGCAGTAAACTTGGACAAAGTACTGTGACTATGTGTCCCAGTTCACCCAGCTGTGAATGGGTACCTTGTAAGGATGGGAAAGCCGCAATAACTCGGTGCGCCTTGTGGCAGCAAGAGTTGTATGATCCCCAGGTAGTTGAGATTGATAATAAGATGTGCCGTTGAGATTGACATCCAATGATCGAGGGAAAAAATACCAGCGCCTTGAGCATGCACTAGTGCGTGGATATGTGCGCCATATAAATATCCAATAATAATATCATTGTGTATATAATGAAAAAGAAGGCAAAATACATATTTTTCCTTATCCTGACTCATGCTTAATTGCTTGTCTCTTTCTTCTTGCGAATGATAGTGAAACACTTGAATCCCCTTTTGAATCCGACATCTTCACGAGAGCCTGCCAGCATGGACAACGATGAATCTGCAATAGATATTCCAGAGGAGCCTTTGCGCAGGAGCAGAAACAGACGTTCACCGGAGCATCGCAGATCATCCTCCTCAGATACGGACAGCATTGAATCAGGAGCCTGCGCGCAGGCACCCTACATACCATAGAAGAGAACCTTCACGAAGGCACAGAGATACGTCTCAAGACTCCAGGGAGGATCCTTATCTGAATCAGTCGCCTGCGCGCAGGTCTCCGCGCAGGTCTCCACAAAGGTCTCCACGAAGATCTCCATGAAGATCTCCATGCAGGTCTCCACGCAGGTCTCCAAGTTTTTCACGGTCATCGTAGCGAAAAATCAACTCTACAAGAACCTTTGTGTATTCAGCACAATTGGTTATTTTACAGTGCTTCATTGAGACCGATGACTACAGTCTACAAGTGACAGCGTTAAGCAAGTATGGAACTTCAGCTGATCATCTGTATAAGATGACAACTGCATTATCTTCAGTGAAGAAGGAAACAATCACAACAGCCAGGCAGCCAGGGAGACAGTCTACCTACATCGGTATTATGCGGCGAAATCCTTCGCGCGTTTTCCACTCAGCCTGCTATACAACTCCGGGAGGTTACGGACAAGGCCGAGTGTTGATGAAGAAATCAATGACTGCACAAGATTTGACAAGGATATTTTTCCTGCAACATCGGTGACGTCACATTGCAGGAATCTGAGATGAATCAAATGCTGCAATTTGTTTTGTCCATGAGAGACAACGCCCTGCACATAAGTCGGGCATAGCTCACGTACCAGGAAGTCGTCTACAGTTGTAAACAACTTTTCAACGTGGGAGAAAGGCTCCATTTACAGTCCAGTTAGCAGGGTACAGTGTGTTTTGAATGTCTTCACGGGTCATAAGGACCTTCCCTGTCAGCAGATTGAAGATTGTTTATCCGGCGATTTGCAGCAACATACGTTTGACGATTTCTGCTCGCGGCAGCCAGTCTACTCCACACATAGACTTCACAGCGATGGCAGTTCCAGTACATCTAGAGACCATGAATTATGCATCATCACTGCACTTTGTTGGGATTCTGGGGACAAGTCTTCTTGACATATTATCGGAAGATTAAAGAAATAAACTTCAAGTCATGATTCCAGAACCGGACATTGCTCCGCTTCCATTATGGACATGGCAAGGGTTCCACTATCTACTTACCTACAACGTAGGATATGAGCAGATTTCTGTGAAGATGTTCATCTCACCACAGAATCGCATGGTCGTCTCAGAGGATCGTTGGGTCTAGATACAAGCCATGGTATCTCAAGCACTACTCTCTCCGTTACCACTACGAAGTTGGCAGAGCCTACTTGGTCTTCTCACGTCAGCACAAGACATGACACACAGAGGAAGGCTACAACTGCGCCCACTACAAGTGTTTGTGAATGCTCATCTAGACAGTCTGGACTCCTTCGGACTACTGGACGGACTGAAACCATATCTTCTATGGTGGACTCGGAAGTCGAATGTTTGTGGAAGAACCTACTTATCAGAGCCGGAGTCCAACACTCATTTCTACGTAGATGCATCACTTCAAGGATGGGAAGCCCACCTCGACAACAAAGTGGCAGCAGGGAAATTGTCGAGTCAGGAGCAGAGTCTGCACATCAACATGCTCGAGATGAAAGCAGTAATAAACGCCTTACTACACTGGTCCAGCATACTAAGGAACGCACAACTGATGATCCATACGGACAACTCCACAGTGGCGTTCTACATCAACAAACAAGGATCAACAAGGTCAAGGAATCTTCTAGACCTCAGCTTTCATCTGTTCAGCAAAATAGACAACCTGAACATCGACATTAAAGCATGCCACATTCCCTAAGCCAAGAATGTGATAGCAGACGCCCTATCTTGTCCAACACAACCATCCCCAACATAATGGATGTTACATCCAGAAGCCTTTAGGTGCATCATACAGAGGATAGGATATCCGCTGATAGACCTGTTTGCTACAAAGTTCAACAAACAACTACCAAAATTCGTCTCTCTGGTTCCGGATCCACAAGCATGGGCAACAGATGCTCTAAGCATCTCCTGGGAAGGACTAAACTGCTTATGCGTTTCCACAGGTGTTGCAGAAAATCAAGCAGACAAAGAAGCTGCTACTGATTTTGGTCGCACCCTACTGACCAGCGAGGGTGTGGTTTCCCATCCTCATACAAGTACTCTTAAGTCCAACCATACAACTCCCAGAGTGGCCGAACCTACTAATTCATCCACACACCAAGCAAGCACATGGGAATCCATCAGTATTCCAGCTACACGCATGGAACGTATCAAGACTTGCTTGAAGAAAAGAGGATATTCCGCCAGAGCAGCGAAAGCAGTCACACTAGCTCTACGTAGATCAACTCACAACTTGTACGACGACAAGTGGCAGAGTTTTGAGAAATATGCATTGAGGAAGGGCTTCACGGCGATGAAAGCAACACATCCTCAAGTGGCCGAATACCTTTGTCATCTAAGACAAACGAGGCGGTTAAAAGGTTCAACACTCTCTACATACCTAGCGGCCCTCAGCACGGTTATCACCATGAAGACGGGTGTTAAGCTGACCAAAGTACCAGAGATACTGGCTCTACTACGCTCCTTTAAGTTAGAAGACCAACAAAATGAATTTAAAGCGCCTGCATGGGATCTGAACGTACTCTTGCACCATCTCACCAGGGACGCTTACGAACCACTAGAAAGGACATCCTATGAGTTTTAACACACAAAACTCTGTTCCTGATCGCCTTGGCAACAGCACCTCGGATGTCGGAAATACATGCTCTGGACTTTGAACGAACACGATTTGATGCACATCGCAACATCATACATCTGGGATTGAGATGGGACTTCATAGCAAAGAACAACTGACCGGTCAACCAGACAGACAGTTCCACATCCCAGCACTCCCCACAGTCCTTGTGCCACAGGATACTCAGGACCTATCCTTATGCCCAGTCAGAGCATTGAAAGTCTACCTACAAAGGTATAAGACGAGGAGACGAAAATTCAAGCGCCTTTTCATGCCTCTATCTACGGAGACACCTACAGAGATCTCACGTACAGCAATATCAATATGGATGAGAGCCTTCATCTTAAGGGACTACAAAGCAGCAGGACTTGAGCCTCCATGAGCCTCCAATCCTCATGAAGTCAGAGCACTGGCATCGACACTCGCTCTACATGGAAACTGCTCCATCTCAACAATAACTGAGGGCTGCTATTGGAAGTCAGAGATGGTGTTTGCCAACCACTACCTCAGAGACATTGCTACCGAGGACATATCTCCGGCATTCACCAGTTTGGGCCTCTTGTTGTAGCACAACAATTGACAGTTCCTCAAAGGCGCTGAGATGAATCTCACCCTTTTTATCATGTGACTTGTAAAAGCCAACGCTCGGAAGAGTTAGAGCTTAGAGTCCATGCGCATGCCTAGGATAGGCCAGCATGAGTGACAGACCCTATACTTGTAAGGGCTTACTCGTATATGATGAAGGGTCGCTTCTCCACTTGATGCGAGCATCAAGACATGGAGTCGTATAAATCCACATTTAATGTCAGGAGAAGCGGATCCAGAGAAATCTGACAAGTTGTGGTCCCCCCAAACTCATCAGAGGAAGCTGGGAGGAAGGATCAGTATAGTACTATAAGAAGTTCCCTCAGGGGGGTATGCAGGACGTAAATCAGCATGGAATCCAGAGTGGCTTGACCCACCACTGGTTCCGTTGGATTCTACAAGCAATTAAGCATGAGTCATGATAAGGAAAAATATGTATTTTTTTTATTAAAATTGATATTTTATACTTATCCTGACTCATGAGGTAAGCCCTCCCAACCTCCCCTCATGGCACTCTGGATTCCCTGAAATCCAGGTGTCGGGCTCAAAATTCGGAGAGAGTGAAAACGTGGGGTCATGTGATGCAGTTTCCCGCCAAAACAGCTAAAGGAAGATAACACTGGGTGAGTGATTTTACGTCCGCTTTTTTTAAGGGAGCTTCACAAGGGGATTCAAGTGTTCCACTATCATTCCCAAGAAGAAGGAGACAAGCAATTAAGCATGAGTCAGGATAAGTATAAAATATCAATTTTAATCAAAAAATTACATTTCAGTTAAAATGTTTTAGTGAAGGCTGGAAACTTTGAGTATAATATTTTGTTTTAATAGGATGGATTTCCAGGATTTTGAGAGGAACTTTGATAACCTCGAAATCTGCAACTTGACGTTGGATGATGATCTCAGTCATGTAGTGGAGCATCATGGGAGATGGATAAAAGGCTTCAATGCTGGGGGGATACCGTCGAACAGAGGTAAGAGGTGTAAACTGCTAAAAACATGTAGTCTTCAGTACAGCTTCCTACATTTCTTCCATACCAGGTAGGTCTCCCGTAGTTCATGAAGATCAGGTTGTTGTTGTATCAGGTCACGTGACTTACCTGTCCAGGTGGACGTGTGTATTGAACGGCACATAAATTTGCAATTAATGGCCAAATATCAATTCACAACAGCAATTTAAAGGTACAGGGTGTTGCACGAAAGTGTGAAGATACAGTGAAGCCGACATGGGTGTGTGTACCGAAACCTGGAGGAGAGCTATAGGATGTTTTATTCCGACCAGGGTGAGACGTGTGTTTTTGTGCCCCGTTATAAGGCTACCCCAGGGTACCCGTTTGACACTCAGACTCGCTGTGTTGTTGTTCACCCTCTTAACTGTCTCGGGGGACGTTGAGTCCAACCCAGGACCTCGCCAGTCCCAGAGCAGGACTATCAATCCCGTGGATAGGATGCAGACCAGATTATCCACTACCAATGTCACCGGGATCGTGTCATCGCGCCATTGTCAGATGGGTCGGACCTCGCTGTAGCACTAAAAGTCGATCCAGGCTGATCTTACCTCTCTCAACGATAAGTTTGATCGCCGCCGCGTGATTTCAACGATCAGATCACGTGCGCTTCAGTCTGACAACGACTCCCTCGAGACCGGGTGTCGTTCTTGGAGAAGAAGACAGACAAGTTAGAGGCCCAGTCCAGGCGCTTAATAACGTCATTATACATGGCATTGCAGAAGAACAGGGTGAAACATGGGACACAGTTGAAAGTAAAGCTAGAGACTTTCTCTCAAATAAACTGAACATGCCTAATGCACCATCTGTTCCCATTGGCCAACGCCCATCAAACTTGCATAGCAAGTCCGTACCAGACCAGTCATTGTCCGTTTCACATTTTATAAAGATAAGGAATCTGTTATGGAGCGGGGAGACGTCAGTTGAAGGGGATGGCATCAATAAAGTTTCAGAGGATTTTACCGAAAACATTAAGCTGGATTAGACAACAGTTATTTCCCTTTATGAAACAGGCAAGGGGCGGGAGCAAGGTAGCTTTTAAGCTATGACAAGCTTGTCATTGGCGGTGATGTTTTGTTTTCGATGAGTATAACAAAGATATCCGTCCAGATCGGGCCGGCCTTGGTAATTGGTCGAGCAGAAGTCAACCTGCTCATCACCGTTCTGATTCCCCACCGCTGCTTCCCCACACAACCGTCGTCTGCTCATCACCAGGCTGACTCCCTTCACGATGTGTCGTCTGCTCAAGGGTCCAGATAGGAAATTGGCGGTGGCCCGTTGATGAATCTTCTCTTTATATTAAAGATCATGAGATAAGTATTTCACATTATCTAAGTTTTGTACTTGGAATATCTGTGGTATAAACACCAAAATATCAGATCCTGACTTTATATCATTTTGTGAATCTCATGATGTATTCAGTTGTATTGAGACAATGAGTCCTGATGCACAGCACGTCCTGGACGCTACATTCAGTAATTTTGATAATTTTGTATGCAATGCCGCCAGGCGACATAATGTTGGCAGATATTCAGGTGGTATATCAGTTTCTATTTGGAAGAATATTTCTTCTTTTTTTCAGAGAGTGTATATGGACTGGGAGAACTGTTTATTTTTCAAATTAACAGATGACTCTGCACGCTTCCACATATTTATTGGATTTGTATACATCCACCCAGAAAGATCGCCTGAGTATACAGCGACAGAAGACAACGGCATAGACATATTAGAAAATAAACTTTTACAAGTACTGTTTGATTATGGGGAAGCCAGTAAGTTTATTTTGTTTGGTGATTTTAATGCCAGAACAGCGAGTGAGCCAGATTTTATAGTAAATGGCGGTTCCGACTATATACCCGTTGGTGACGATTACGCACAGGATAACTTTGATAAACCCGCAATTCATATGACACTGTCACAAATATGTATGGAAAGTGTTTACTCGAGCTGTGTAAATCGATGAGTATACACATTGTGAACGGTAGAAGTTTGCCTGATATCCCGGAAGTTTAAGTTACATTTCAAAGACCGGTTGTAGTACTGTTGATTATGCGCTTATTTCATCTGAGATGTTCAACAATATTGATAGTTTTGAGGTTAAACCTCGCACAAGAGTCGGATCACCTCCCGATTGTTTGTGTAATCCATGACATAATCGCCTCCAGCGCTTGCTTAAGTAGCGATACAGTAATACCCATGTTCAAGTCCGTAGAGGGTATAAACTCTGGGAGGACCAGAGAGAGAGTTTTCATATGTACTTGGTAGATGGCATAAAGAATGGTATCCTGAATGATTTCAGAGACCTACTGTATACTGATGTTAACTCTGCCATTTCTGAAATTACATCCCTACTTCAATTATCAGGCGTTAGAGCTGGAGCCATCAGACTCATTTCACCCTATCACCGTCAATCGGCGCCAATCTCCTTGGTTTGATCAAGAATGCGGCAAACTTAAGTCCGAAAATATACAGACTTTTAAACTATTTCCAGAAAGCATAAGTCGCGATTCTAACCTCGATTCTTATTTGAATGCAAAACACAATTTTAAAAAATGTTGCCAATTAAAAAGATAATTATTTAGCCAAAGCTGCAGATGATATTAAAATAGCAGCAAGAAATCCTGACTGTAAGATATTTTGGAGCACGTTAAAGCGCCATCTTCAGAAAGCGGTTCTCACAGATAATATTTCTCCGTACCAATGGTATCATTACTTCAAAGGTCTCCTTTCCTGTAGAGATCTGAAACTGCTTTCAGATTTTGATAAATCAGTGTATGATTTTGTCTCAACGCTTATAACTGTGGACGAGTGTGAAGAGCTTTCATTCTCGCATGATGTTTTGTCAACTCCAATTACCGAAGATGAGGTAATAAAATCTATAAATGAATTGAAATGGAATAAGGCAGCGGGGCATGGCGGTATCCCTCCCTCATTTTACAAATCTACTTTTACTTCTTTAGTGTCATATTTGAAAGATTTATTTAATGTAGTTCTTGATAGTGGTAAATTCCCATCGGTATGGAATATAGGTATGATTGTCCCTTTATTCAAGTCTGGGAGTGTATCAGAACCATGCAACTATCGTGGAATATCTCTTCTAAACATTTCTGGAAAATTATTTGCTAATATATTAGAAAAACGTTCTGGCGCCTGGGTTGATCTAAACGAGCTACTTGGCGAGGCTCAAGCTGGTTTTAGATCGATTATAGTACAACTGATAATTTATTTATATTACAGTCATTATGTACAAAGTACCTCTGCAGACCAAAGGGAGATTCTATTAGCTTTCATCGACTTTAAAGAAAGCCTTTGATTTTGTTGACCGTAAAGAAATTGCTATTTATGTTACATACCAAAGGATGCCATGGCAAAATGTATAATATTTTAAGAAGCATGTATGACTCTGTTGCAGCCTGTGTTAGAACTAATTCTGGCAACACTGAATCGTTTAACACTTCCGTTGGTGTCGCGACAAGGCTGTGTAATAAGCCCCGTACTCTTCATCTTCTTTATTAATGAACTTGTAGATGATATGTATAAATCGTGTATTAATGGAATATTTGTTACTCCCCAAATCAAAGATTTACTTTTGCTTCTCTTTGCAGATGATATTGTTACGTTTTCATTCATGGTAAACGGACTGCAGAGAGACAGATAAATATTCTTCAAACATTTTGTGACACATGGGGACTAGAGTTGAATATGGAAATATCTAACATAGTTGTCTTTAGAAATGGGGGTATAGTGGCACATTCTGAAAAATGGTTATTCCGTGGCAAAAGTATTAATGTTGTTTCATATTATAAATATTTGGGTCTTCTATTTTCCAGCCGATTAAATTGGTCCATGGCATCTAAAACCCTTGCAGCACAAGCTAAGAAGGCATTATTTCCTATTTTTAAACTGTTTAAGGCTAATAAGTTTATTTCATTTGACTCAGCTTGCTTACTTTTGACACTAAAATAGCACCAATATTGTTATATGGATCTGAAATTTGGGGAGTAAACTATTTGAAGCTATAGAAAATGTGCATGCATCATATTTTAAAAGATTTCTTACTGTAGGTAAATTTGCTTCCAACAAAGCCGTACTTGGCGATACAGGCCGCTATAGCATGCATATTGAGAGTCAAATGAGAGCTATCAGATACTGGATTAAACTTATAAGAATGCCTGATTATCGCTACCCCTATCAAAGCTATCAATTATTATTATCCCTAGACAAGCGTGGAAAGTATTCTTGGGCTTCTGGTGTCGAAAATGTGTTATTTTCAAAGCGGGTTTTCTTATGTTTGGTTTAAGCAAGATGTTGGTGATATAAAATGTTTTTGTTAACTTTTAAGCAACGAATAAAAGATATATATATTCAGAATTGGCAGCGCATCAGTAAATTCATCGAGTTTTTCTAAGTCATTATTCACAATGTAAATCGATGTTGGGACCTGAAAAATATATTAGGGTCCTTAATGATAAGTCCCTTTTAAGAAATTTTGTAAATTTAGAATCTCTCTACATGCCTTAAAAATACAGCGTTATAGAAAAGATAAAAATACATTGGAAGATTTATCATGTTCTCATTGTTCTTCTGGTAAAACTGAAGACTAACGTCACTTATTATTAGACTGTGAGGCATTCTCTGCTGGCCGAAAGAAGTATCTAAAATGCTTTAACGATGCCCCACAAACGATATATAAAATACTTAATTCTAATAACGATGACACTATTAAATCAGCTGCCATTTTCATAAAACATTTGATGTCCATCCTTAAATCACATGTAAAACCATAATTTCGTGTCACGTGACCAATATTTGTTAAAATGAAAATTCAACTGTACTATGGGCCACTGTGCCTACATTACTGAATAAAACCTGTCTGTCTGTCTGTCTGTCTGTCTGTCTGTATCAGGTCGGCAAGATTATAGGCTAAAGAATATATGATGCCTTTTTTAAAAGTGGTCGGATCTAAAAAATATTGTATTTGTGATTACACTTGTACTTTTAGGTACAAATTCTAGTGCTAGTCATTGTTAGAGGCAAAATTAAAGGCTATGAATACACAATGTTTGTTTTTTTAAATCGGTCAGATCTAACATAACTGTATTTGTGATTGCAAATACAACTTTAAGGTACAAAATCTAGTTCCCTCACACCTTCCATTCTAATTAACACTCCCTCCATTGCAGATACGTTCTGGACCAACCCTCAGTACCATGTTGGTCTACAAGACACAGACGATGATGATGACAGCCACTGCAGCTTTATAGTGCAAGTGATGCAGAAAGACAGACGCAAGATAAAAAAATAAAGGACCCAGATTTCTTTTCCTAGGATTTGTAATATACAGGGTAGGCAGAATGTAATATTTGTAATATGCAGGGTAGGCAGAATGTAATATTTGAAATATACTGGGTAGGCAGATTTAAACAGTATTCATATATGTAGGGTAAATTGAATTGAATATTTGTCTACTCCTTTTTTTTTTGAATATGAGTTGATGACCTCATTAATGTGCCAACTCTTTTTCAATTTCCATTAGGTACATCAAATGAACTTTGTAATTATTTAATTATTTTGTTATTTAGCATTCACTTACTCAACACTGACTCCAAACCTAAAATGTAGTTTGTAATATATTCAAGTTTGAAATTCAACTTTTTTTCTGGAGAAATGGAACATGAAGAGAGACTTTTAAGTATAAAATGGATCAGAGTTGAATGAATGCCAATTAAAGGAAAATATCAATACCAGTGGATTTAAAATTCTAGCTTTCCTTATCCTTTCCTCTTAAGGTTATCATTAAAAAGTGAAAACAAATCTTCTAATGGCAACATCATATTACATATTACTTTTTCTTTTATGATTCTTTCTTGTTTTAAGTGAAATAAATGACTTGATGTTGAGAAGATGTGACTGATCAAGAGAGGTGTTGTCTTGCAGTGTTCAAGGGATGACCCCATACCTCTCAACAAGGACTTCTTTGACTACAACAATCCTTACGCTCGGTGCAATGCCTTCAGCAACACCAGACAGGTGGTGAAACGGTTCGCCTTCCCTCCAGGGGACTATGTTGTGATGCCGTGTACATACGAGCCCCATCAAGAGGTGGACTACTACGTCAGGTTTTTCTTTGAGAAGGGCAACGTGGCAGAGTAAGGACAGCATTATGATAATGGAGGACACAGCTGTATATCTTATGTATCGTAGAAAAACCCAAGTCAGGTTGTCTTAGAGGTTTACAACAATCACTGAGATGGGGCTGACAAACCTAGAAAGATATTCAGAATCGGTTTCTGCATCACCTAAGGGAGGCAATTCTGTACAATCAATTTTTAATCTTCAGTCCAAAATATCAGGCCACTCATGCCAAATTGTGTTAGATGTGCCTAATTTCATGATTTTTTTATGACCATTTTGGGGATTTGGGAAAATTGAATATGTTCATTCGTAATAAAAACTCCAAGCACTTCCATGCTTGAACCTTATTCACCAATATTTTTGGAGCAGATAATTAACATGAACATGTTGCCACTGTGTTGAGTTTAGGATAGGTAACTTAAGCAAGGGCAACAATCCCCTTCATCGGATTGTTTAAGAATCAACAGTACAATTCTTTTCTTTACATTCAAATATATGGCTGATTGAATTTATGTTGTGATTATGGGTGAGGTGAGCTGAAATTGGGTTTAACGTTGTGCTTGAGAATATTTCGCTCATATGACGACGTGCATGTGTGTGTATGTGTATGTGCGGCTGCTTGTACTAGCCCAGACTTAAGCTGGTTTTATAGTGCTATCCCACTGAGATACCATGCGGCAGTGAAGCATGAATACCCCACCGAGCCGACCAGTCCTTGTTGTACCCATTAATGCCGAGCGCCAGGCAGGGACCAACAAGTACCATATTTTAACGTCTTTTGGTATGACGCGGTCGGGGATCGAAACCCGCGACCTTCCGCTCTCCAGGCGGACGCTCTAACCACTAAAGCACGGAGGCGGTCTGTAATTATGGTATACTGTAGGCTGTAGATAGACTAAATAATTACTTTGGTGACTGCTTCATGGTTGCCAGTGACTGATCACGAAGGTCTCCTTGTACAGGTACAGCGATGAGAAGCCAGCTAAGATCACCATCCCTCCCCCAGAACCGTCAGCAGGCTACAAGGAACAAGAGGAAAAATTCAAACAGTTTTTCTACAAAGCTGCAGGAGAGGTTGAAATAATTCCCTACTTCGATTCTAGTCAGTCATTCAACAAATACTCAGTAACTCTCACGAATGTAATAACACATAATTTATAACTCCAAATTAACACTCCATGTGATCAAATCTCTTATGATAGATAAGCATAAGGGAAAACGCTTCCAAAATCAAAACGTTTTGGCATAAATGATTTAAACTCAAGAAATATTGGAAAGTGCTACTCTGACATGATGTTTGCAGACTTACCTTTAGCCGAAGAAAGAGTTATGTCCCTTGTGGAAAGGTCACATGCCAGACATTGTCACGGTGGGTTAACAAGGTTGGAGAAATTCAGCTACATTAGTTGTGATGCCATGTGTGTATGGTAACAGAGTTATATATGTTCAAATTCTACATTTTCCCAGGACATGGAAGTGAATCCCTTTGAATTGAAGATCGCCATTAATGATGCATTAAAAAAAGGTGAGTGGGATTAGAGGTGACCGTTTGATTTGGATGTTGTCGTTTTCAAAACTCATTGTTTGACATTACTTGTTTTGCATGTGAAGGGTCTAATCAGTTAAGAGACTTCAACTCATGTATGTACCTGCCCTGTTTGCCACTTATCTGGCAAGGGAGATTCCATCTTTATTTATCACAAACTTCACTTAGTATGTCCTTATACTCACAGAATATATCTACAGTAATTATTTATAGTTTAAAACAAGTTTAAAAGTTTTTGATGTCACATCTATCACCAGAGTGTATGCATTACAAAGTCCAACCAGCTGATGTGGAGTTACTCGTAGGACAAGTAAAATGTTTGACCTGTGTATATTTTCTGCTTACATTTCTAGTTATCCTGTTCCAACTTGTCAGTGCCCAATTTTACTTATTGTATATTTTCTTGTCATATGAATATTCAGCTGTCTTGTCCAAGTAGTTCAGCTTTGACTTCTGTTCCAGAACCCCTTCACAGAGAGATAGGAATTGATGCCTGCAAGTCCTTTGTCAGCCTCATGGATGTATCCTTTCTACATATCAAACGTACATAATAGACTTAAAGGGCTGTAAGGTAGTGTAGAGGTTAAGGTGTATGCTTGTACAGTCAAAGACCATGAGTCAAAACTTGAATCTCTGTTAACGTCCGTCACCAAATATTAATCATATTGAACACCAACCAAAATTGCACATATATGTCACATTCCTGGTTCCAACAACATGGACTTACTTATCTCTAAAACCTGCCCGATATAGAACTCAATCACTATCAAAATAAAATAAAATAACCACATCATGATATTGTTAACTTCTTTGAGAGGCATTTAGAAGTTGGAGCAGTAAGGAAGGATAACAATATATGGATGAACAACTTCTTTATTGCTGTGAGAGACGTTTCGGTGTAGGTTCTAACACCGTTATCAAGCAAGTGATGAACAGCATAAGGATGAAGGAGCATATATACAAGTTAGAGCAGATGTTGTACAGTACAATTGGGATTAGGAAGCCATGAAATTGTTGCCAAGGTATATAATCTTATGTTAACCCTGATCATGATACATGGTCTGTCAGCACCATTTCTGTGTTCATGGGTTTTATCAAAGTGTTGGATATCTAACACATGTTACACATGTCAAATTTGAGATTACACTTTCTCAGTTTGATATCTACTGTTGATCTCAACTCACTCATGATCCAGTTTGCTCATTGGGATCATAGGTACGAATACCAGAACTGCCTGACATGCAGTTCAAGTAATATATAGCAATCCTTTAGAAAAAAATAATAACTTGATAATAATAACTCACACTATATCTTGTAAAGGAATATTCTGTTGTTTACATGCATGGTTTTCAGTCAAAGAGGATTTATGTTTTCTGATATATCTGTCTTAGATCATATTGCAAGTTATCCTTAACACTACCAAGGTAGACAACTCTGGTCGACTTGGCATAAATGAACTGAGCTACTTGTGGAATCATCTGCGCAGCTGGAAGGTTGGTACACATGGGTGACATAACCACAACCATACTGGTTTTGTCAACCTTTGTTTTCCCCTTTTTTCCATTTTCAAAATTTGTAGTCTTATATCCTTGGCCATAATACCATTCATTATGATGACATTTAAATCTAAATTTCAGTGATCATGTCAGCAAAAAAGTTATTAACAACAATGTGAAAAATTTGAAATATTATTGTTATATCTTTTTTGAACTTACCAACAATTGTCTGAAAGTACAAGCCATACAATTCTTTTTTTAATCCATGACACATTATTTTCTATGCTCTCAGTGTTCAGTTCAGAATTTATGTAAAGACGTGAGAAAAAAAGTCAGGAAGATTATTTGTTTCTGACATTTCCAACAAATTGATTTCATTCCAGAAAGTTTTCTATCAGTATGATGCCAACAAATCTGGAACTATGAACTCGTACGAGTTACAGAGGGCACTACCTGCAGCTGGTGAGTCACACAAACCAACCCAGAGGTTCGCTGTCAATTTGAGTTCCCAAATCATGTCCTCCAACATAATTGTTCGATCGGCATTCTAGAAGTTGGTGAGTCAACAAAGGAAATATACAACTTTATGGATGACAACTTCTGGTTTATTTGCGTTGAGCGACGTTTCGAGGTAGATTCTTCCATCGTTATGTTTCCTTTGTCCTCCACCACAGGTTTTTTGATGTTTCTTTGTTGTTTAATGCCTCACTCAGCAATATTCCAGCTATATGGCGGCGGTATGTATATATTCCAGTCTGGACTAGAAAATCCAGTGATCAACAGCTTGAGCATTGATCAACGCAAATGGGATACGATTACAGGTGACCACCCGATCCTGTTAGTTGCCTCAACTGGTATAGGGTTGCTGAATACCAATTCTAGACCGGATCTTCACACGTCTATGTGAACCCATTGCCTGAAATACTTGAATATTGCAAATAATCAACTCTGATCTCTCTTATGAACAGGTGAAACAATGAATCAGATTATGAAGTTCCAGAAACAAAACTTGTTAAATGTCCTGTTTTATTAAGTTTTTCTTCTTCATCAGGGTACAAAGTGAGTCACAAAACAATGGTTGCCATCATCTTCCGCTACGGCAATGAAAACAACGGCATCGAGCTGGACAACTTCCTCATACTTCTAGCCAGACTCATGAAACTGTTCAGTAAGTAAATCATTATGAGTTTTCAAAACTGTGAATTTCAAAACCGAACGGACATTATGATTCTCGAACAATGAGAACAATAGTTGATGAAATAGTGTCCATTACTCCCAGTAATAGTCCATTCATCAACCCACAAAACTACCCTGAATTTATTCTTTTTCCTTTTCTGATTTGCATTTGTTAATTTTTGTTAGCAGTTATTTCCTTTGGTTAGGCATCACTAAAACATAAGAAAACATATCATGGCATTGAACTGAACAGTGTTATGCTTTCCACAGCTATAGGATAGGTTGTATTTGATGAGTAGTCATGGAGAATATCTGTTCATCTTCTGTATGTGATTAGAAGTACATCCTACTCTTTTGCAGACATATACAGCAAACACGAAGCCAACGGACATGCAGAGTTCACGCTACAACAGGTAAAGATGTCTCCCATGGCTTTGTTGTTTGAAAGTCCTTAAAGAATAATGCAATTCAAATGAGGCAGTTTGCAAGCATTTTCGGTAGTCATCATGTGTGCCATGTGATTGACATGACATAATTATGATTATGCACTACATCTATGACCAACAAATTAAGAAAAAAGAGTCTTTCTTGTTGTCAATGTTTCATCAAGCGATATGAATTAATAATACTGCATTATTGTGAATATTGTTGTATGAAGTTATCCACAAATCAACACATCACAAATAATAAAATTACCTAGTCAGAATAACAGGTAAATGTTGCTGATTGTCTTGGTCTGATTGATACTTATTACATTGTCCTCCAATTTCTCTTTCAAAATGACAATGCAGAGAAAAAAAATACTGGTTCCACAAAACTAAAACCAATCATTCATCTTGGTCAACTAAACTGGTATTTTTTGTGACCCATGACATGCCCGTCATACAATTAAACCTGCTCTTAATACTTATTACCTTTGTAATCACATTTTTAAATTTTGATCTGAATTCCAACTTTGTTCATACCAATACTTCATATTACTTATGGTGTGTCAGACTCCCAGTTTGCTTTGTCCATGTACAGAATTTCACTTCATACTTCCTATTGTGGGTTGCAGGGCTTTAACAGGTCATGTATTAGATTTGAATCAAGTTTTCTTTTATACATTTCTTACCTACCAACGAACTAAAATAAAAGAGGAAAATGCAGTTCCCTACCCAGTCAGTTTTGAAAATGTTCATGAGAAACAAAAAAAATCAATTTGGCCATACCTTGTGATAGATAGTACGGAAGTCCTGAATTGGTCTAATGTGGAGTCAGTGATGTATACAGCTGGGTATCCACAAGGAGGTGACATGTTTCTTAATTTATACTTTCAGTTGCTGGAGCAGTCCTTGTATTCATAGCACAAGGCACACTGACCACAGCATTAGCTTCATATCCTCAGGAAACTGTGACCATCATCATCAGTCAGTCATTGTCCTTGACAATCCAGGAGATATCGCTATTGAGGACCGTTCATAATTTATGTATTTTTTTTATTATTATTAATTTTTAGTAAGGGGTGGGGTGGGGTGATTTTAAGTGGGGGTTTTGTTCTGGGGAGATGGGGGTCATCAGTTTTGTACACATGCACTAGGAGGGGTCAGCAATTTGGTACATAAAATTATTAAAAAATAATTGGAAGGAGGAGGGGGTCAATGATTTTGTACATGACATGTATGGGGTGCCACTTACTTTGTACATGAATTTTAGGTGGGGGTCATTCACATTGTACAGGCATCTCCATAAAAATCATCCTCACCCCCCTAGCCATAAATTATGAACGGTCCCTTAGATTATGAACCCGAGATCCATCAACCATTGTTTTGGAAGTGACCTCATCATATGTAATTCTCTTATCTAACAGTACAGTATTTACAGAATATTTTAAGAGAATAATTGCATTGGGTTCAAAATGAAGCTAAATTAGCAAATGGATCCAGGATGTCATTTATAAATACAGTGCAGGTATGATATTCTGGATAATACAGGATGTTATCTCAACAACTGTCCACAACTATCAACAACTGTCAACAACTGTCAACAACTGTCCACAGAGGATTTCAGCTTCTCCATTTTCTTAATTTGATCAAGATGTTGTGAAGCATAGTTTTTGTGTCCTAGTTGGAATTTCAATCTGAACAGAAGCAAACCAACACAAATCAAAATGTTCCCTCAACAGTATATGTCATGGCACAATTTGTGTATTTTTTTGGTGATGTTTTCAAGATACAGAAATCAGATGTACTGCCCTCATTGCATTGATAACTCATACTGAGAATTTAGAATAGTTCCTGCTAATTGGAAAGTGACCTCACTTGACCTGTGACTGATGGTTTGTCTCATCTCCAAACAGAGGCATCTGAATCAGAGGAAAAGATGTGATCTTTATGAGTTTCAAAGGAAAGGCAGTTAGTGGAGAATACTGTATTACAAATACGAATGTGTTATGAGGCCCATGTGAGTTTTTGTCTGACATGAGTACACTTGTTGGGGGAATCTGCAAAAGTTGCAAAACAGCAGTTTTTGTAGATTGTTTAGTTGTCAAAATTTATTTCATATTTAACTCACATTATTTTAGGAAAATAGTATTTAAACAAGGTGAAAAAAGTACCTCAAATAATCAAATGGCATTTTTTAAAGTTATATCCGAAAATTTGTTGTTGTTACTGATTATGGGTCTATCTTCTGTTTTCAGATTTTGAAATTGAGAATAGTTTTTGCCTCCTGCATCTTTGACTAAAAAGACACAAACACAAGACAATATTTGGCTTTTACACCTGTGACATTTAGTGATGCTGTATGATGATTTGTGGATATTTGTGTTTCATTGTTAAAATATTAATACTGGTATGCGTTTTCTTATACAATTTACCAAACATTGTCACAGAATATGTAAATGAGCATGCATCAATTATAATACCACAGTCACATAGTCACATAGTCACATAGTCACATGATATGACTGCATTGTTTTCAGGGTATTAACATTTTCAAGATGGGTATACCGGTAGTTAAATCTAGATGACATAATCTAATCCAACTGGAAAAGAGGAGGTTGGTGTGCATTCAATGACACAAGTTGGACCTATGAACTGCTGTGCTAAACTTAATCTTCACTACAAAGGTCTATGAGAAAATCACACACATTCACTAGTTCAGCTACGTATTTACCACAATTTTTAAATGCAGTGACATTACATGAATGCCACCTTGCAGAGCCATGATGAGGTGAAGTGAAATTGGGTTTTACGTCGTGCTTGAGAATATTTCGCTCATATGACGACGTGCATGCGTGTGTATATGTGTATGTGCGGCTGCTTGTACTAGCCCAGACTGAAGCTGGTTTTATAGTGCTAGCCCACTAAGATACCATGCCGCAGTGAAGCATGAATACCCCACTCAGACACAGTATACTGACTCTGAGCCGACCAGTCCTTGTTGTACCCATTAATGCCGAGCGCCAGGCAGGGACCAACAAGTACCATATTTTAACGTCTTTTGGTATGACGCGGTCGGGGATCGAACCCACAACCTTCCGCTCTCTGGCGGACGCTCTAACCACGGAGGCGGTCAGAGCCATGATGATGGGAGTCCAGGTCACTTGTAGTGGTGATGGAGGAGGGGCAGAGGGCTGGGTGCCAGATACCAGGCAGTTAGGTTTGAATCCTGGATTGACCCTGATTGTGTTCCTAGGCTGTCAGCTCTGTACCCAACCAAGTGGGTTTCATTAAAGTCGTTACATCCCAAACCTTCATCACTTTGGGCTATCCTCCCCATCAAGTTGACGTCTCTTATAGTCATCCCTTGCAATAACGCTCTTCGTGATGCCGTGGAATTGGTTAAACCGCAGGATAATCCGTGGCTCCCATAAAAAAGTTGCCCAGCGATTACACATCTTCATCGTCACACGTCACAAAAATAACATAACTATTATAACTGAAAGTGACGTTAAGCTCACTCACGGACCCACTTCCCACAATGCTGTGACCTACCAGTTAAATGTTGTGGTGTTACTCTCGTTCACATGCTGTAGGCTAAAGCAATTTGCCAAAGGACACCTGATGTGTGACAGATGGGTTCACACAATAAACATCACATTTTACCTGCAGCGTTATTAGGTTTATTATATAGTAGCACAGATAAACACCAGGCTCTTTCTCCTTGTACTGAACAATAAACCTCCCAAAGGTATTTCACAGTTCTTTGGCAACCATTCCCCATTTCATGTCTAATGTGTTCAGAACCATCCATAATCATGGCAAATGACCAAAGTAGCTCAAATTGAAATGACACAAATATGATTCATATTTCAACAGTTACACTGCTGTTTATTCTTCATGACAATCCTTGTATATTATAAATATAATACCTAGTCTTAGACGCGGCTGAAACTGTCATAGTTTAGTATCTGATCTTTAATGTTGTTGGTGCATTGACCATTGTTTCATGGCTTTTCTCATCTTCTATAATGAAGGGTAGTAGATACCCTGGACCGAGTCACACCAGCGTTTCCCATCAACACCTCGGCACAGAATTTACTCACTCATAAGTTTGAAAACAACAACCAATGGAAATGTCGCTTGTGTGTTTACCATATATGTATATTCAAAATGGCAACCTCCCGCTAGAAATCACTCAATATACAACACTGAAATTTGATTGGATGTTTTTTTACATGGTGTCATTCCAGCCACAGGGGATGTGAAGCTCTGTTGGCAAATAGGTCCAGGGTATATTATAATGGAATACACATATTGATCAACAGCATAATTGAGAGATGAGGAGTCCAAGTGTCCCTAGAGCTCCTCAGATCAGTCTTAGCACTAAGATCAAGATTTATGCTAATGTGAGTGCTAAGGTCTCTTTGTTTACTTGTGTGATGTACAGTAAGCGCTGTGTCTGCTGTCACACATGCTTTAACATAAACAGTCTTAGCTCAAAGATTGCTATATGTAATATGTATGTGATTCTCTTGTATGGAAGATTAGACCAGGATAATTTGGTGCATCAGATTTGTTCTTGCGCTTGTGTGTTTAATCAGACATGTCCTATATTTCATTGTATTGATGTAATGTTTACTGTGGTACAAATGCAATTTGTGGAGTTGCCACCACACCTTTCAAGATCTATCCATGCATTTGATGAATGAAATGATGAAAGTATCTCATTGCTCAAGGGTACAATTCATGCCCCAATTGTACAAATTAGATGTATTGTTTGTTCATTCCAGGATTAGCATTCAAGGATGTTTTGTTGTAAAACACAGAAATGTCTCATTTTGTCCACAGTTTCCGTTTTAGCAACAATTTTATGTGTTTTTGTTCAGTATTAATGTATAGTATTGTTTTTTAACATATTTAACCATTTTAGATGTATCTTGTATGCTGGTCCCACTTTTAAAGATTCATTTGCATCCAAGCCTCAATATTTGTCTGCATATGTATCAGCGGAAAAGCTGACAAGATGTGGTCGTGAACCACTCTCAAGTACATATATACAACTCAAGTTAAAGAACAACCGATTCTCTATTTAATATTACTAAAGTTGATGATGATGTGCCATGGCAATTTAGCTATATTAATATGAAAGAATTGGGTATTCCTTAATGCCGAAATTTGGTCCAGATCCAGAAATGGGGGGGGGGTTGGGGGGTTTGGGGGGTTCCGAACCCCCTGAACCCCACCTTGGCTCTGCCAATGCCTTGAATTTGTGTATTACATCACTCACTGGGACCAGAATACTAAATTCAAACATTCTTTATTGCCTTTTATGATTTCATGTGCAATTAATTATAGCATTTTTATGCCGGTTTTACAAATCCAGTACTTTAGTATAACTGTTTCCCAGATAGCAAAGGTGTGTTGGGCCAATGTTGGTATATGGTTGGTTGGTTGGCCAACAGTTTGACAACATTGGCCCAACGTTATCTTAATGACTTAAAAGTAACGGTGGCTTTTGACACGTTGGTCCAACGGTGGGCCAACATTTGAAAAACTCTGCCTATTTGCCCTGATCTTACATCTATTTCACAAAGTTGGGCCACCGTTGGCCCAACATTGTGAATAAAAGAGTGAGCACACGGCCATTTATAGCCATGTTTTCTTATAAAGATTTTGATGACAGTTGAAATAATTACACAGACAAAAAGAATGAATCCATTTCCCTGTCTTTCAACTATGATGCAGTGAAGTTTACAGCATTGTTTTCTCCAAACTGAATACCAAACTTGTCATCATTGATAGCTTTACCTGATATTCAAAGAGCAGACGACACTACATTTCTGGAGGCCTTCAACTGGTAAATATGCATTGTTATTTCTGTGATACTGAATTGCGAATATATTGTGAAATAATTGGTTTAAATCATCATTTAGGCTAAAGAAACTGACACATACTGTATTGAAAGGCAATTGCTTAAGTAGATAAAAGATTTAATTGACTCTTTTCTTTAGGTAGCCTGTTTTAACCACTTTGATAAATCTCATTTCATT